AAGGGCAGCCTTTGCTACCACCACACCAATCCAACTTAGTTGTTAAATGTAATAACCTTTTATATATATACACATTAAGTATGACGAAATCAAATTAAATCTAAAAGATAATTTAATTATATTAAATTAAATTATATAAAATTGAATTAAAAACAATATATTAAGATAATTAAAATATATTTTTTTGAATTCATATTTTGTGTTAGAGTGAATCATATTATAATTATATTCATTTAATATTTTTATTTATTTATTTAAAATAAATTTATAATAAATAGAATAACTTATTATTATATAATAAATTATTATTACATTTAAGATTTTTAATATTTTATTATTTTATATACAAATAACACTTTTTGTTTTATTATTCATTATTTAACATTTTATTTACTTAAATTATATTTTTTAATTTATTATATTTATTTAAGATTTTTATTTATTTTTATTTATTATTTCGTAATAAGTTAGATTTATTAAAATATAATAAAAAAATATAACATAAGATGATAAAGTACAAAAAAGGTGAATTCAAATAAAATAAAATAAAATAAAATAATAAACAAAATAACTTATTATGAAATAATAAATAATAAAAATCTTATTTATTAAATATTATTAATATGGTTTACTCTAACACAAAATTGAATTAATAAAATTCTATATTTTAATTATCTTAATTTATTTTATTTTCATTTAATTTAATTTATTATAATTTTATATTTAATTAATTTAATATAATATAATTAATTATTTTAAATTTAATATGATTTATTCATACGTAATTCCTATATATATAAAGTGTTATTGAATATGTTAACTAACATGGATGAGTGAGTTGGTAGCATAGCTATCTTTTTCCTTTGGAGGCTAGGGTTTGAATCCTCCTACTGTAAGACATACAATTTTTTTTTTTCAATTGAAATAGACTGCCACGTCAGCCCAAAGATGTCACGTCATTGACATGTGGAAACACCACGTCACCACAAAAATGCCACGTCACCAGAACAGGCCCGAAATTGAGCCATGTGATTCGAATTGCAAAAAAATAATTAAAGTGGTGTATTAAATTGCTAAATTGCAAAGGTGGTGATTAAATTGCAAAAAACATGAAAGGTGGTGCTTTTATATGCTTAGGTGATATTTGCAATGCAAATACGTCGGATGTTTTGATTATTAGGGAAATGCTACGGTCCCATTACGATACCATTCCGTCGGGTTGTTTAACTGTTGAGTCCACGTGTAGTTAGATAAAATAAATGATCTAACCGTTAAAACACCCGACGAAATGGTAATGTAACGGGACCGTAACATTTCTCTATTTTTTATTCGATCAACATTAATCACTCACGTGAAGTAAAATCAAAATAAAAATCAATAATTTTTTTTTTTTTTTTTTTTTTAAAAAAAAAAGGAACAAATAGAGAAGGTGCACGGTGGTGATAATCATGGGCGCGATGACCGCGTGAAATGGCCCAACTTTTAGGGGACCGGTGGGTCACGCCCACGTTTAATTACCTCCAACATGACTTTTCAGTTCAAATATTTGGACCTTTCACGTTTGGACTGAGCCCACTCAAACCCACATCACACTTTACTTAACCAACCACCTCATCTTCTTCGAAATTACCCCAGAAGCCTTTAACTATTACATAATTATTTTCTTTATCTCCTAACAAATACAATAGTATTCGTTGAGAATTGATGACTTGGTCCGTCTAATAATTAGGTTTTCATTTGACTGTTTGCTTCGGTGTATTTTGCTTTTTCTTACAAAGAAGATTATGATGAGTCAAAAAAGACAGTATACAGTATTGGACTAATGTTATAGAGTTAATGATACTTGGCATTGATATAATGAAACGTGACTCGTTCTTCAGGATAATATTCAAGGAGAAACTAATTTTGCTTTTTTTTTTTTTTCAAAATATAGAAATACTTCTCATTTAAGAAAATGAAGTTCGTACAAAGCCAATGTCTAAGGAGACCACCAGACCACCAAGTAGTGGACAGGAAAATCCAAGTCAGGTGGTCTAGGCCTGTATACGAGGCGAGTCGAGTTCGAACATAGGGTCGACTCGTTTAACAAACGAGTCTGAGATCAAGCTCGAGCTCGAGCTCGGTTCACTTATCACTAATAATCAGTTGAGTTTGAACCTTAACGAGCCGGTCTCAAGCTTTAACTAGACGAATTACCAAAAAACTATATAAAATTTCTCTTTTCGTGCTTAAACGAGCCTTGTCGAGCCGAGCTGAACTGAGCCCGTTAATCAAACGGGTTTTAAATATGCTCGAGCTCAGCTCGTTTATCAAATTAACTCGCGCTCGGCTCGCTTATCAAACAGCTCGAGCCGAACTGAGCCTTAACGAGGCGAGCCAGACTCATTCAATTTAATAGCACTACCGGTATGGTTCGACTAGTGAAATGTCGAACTTGACTCACTTGTATATTTAAACTAGCTAAAGTCAAACAACTAATCGAGTTATTTTATCAAACAAGTCGAGTTGAACGTGTTCTGGTTCGACTCCGTTAAGAATTTTGAGTTTTGGTCTAGATTTAAAAATTTATTAAACGAGTCGAACCGAGTTTAAACGAATCAAACTCGGGATCACATTTCGGTTTGTTTCTTAAACAAGTTTAGTCATGGCAACTCGATCGTTTATTAAATGTACACGAGTCTAAACATGAAGTAGCTGACTCGATTATCAGCTTTAAACATATGTATATATATACATATATATATATACATAAAATAAATGTATAAAATCAATATTGAAATATTAATATAAATCACATGAATCACGCATTAACTAATATTAAAATATGGATGTTGTATTTGAAGAATAAAATTCAATTATATGGAACTCGTAAAAAACTTGTGAATTATATTAAAACCTATTTTATAAATATGAAAAATTATAACTTTTATTCAATTAATTATTATTTTTTAAATGCAAATATATTTTTTTATCATATACTTGATTTTAATTAGAAAAAAAATAATATTTTTATTAAAATGACTGTCATAAGACGACATACTAATCGCTTTATTCTTGTTGTATGACAAGTCATTTAAGGTTCATATATCTTTTTATTGAGTATGCCACATAAATAAATGAGACTTGGTATTACATATTTTTATATACTGAAATACCATTTATTTAAAAACTAATAAAATATATAAATAAATTGTAAAATTATTAAATTTAACTGCATACTAAATATTCTAATTGAAGTCTAACGCAAACAATTATTGCCTAGGGTAAAATTATTCAAATATATTTTATTAACTAAATAATATAATAATGTAAACATAAAAAGAATATGGAAAATGACATAATGAGCTAAAATGAAAAGCGAGAAGAGACTTTAAACTATTTTCAAATAAATACCATTGATTTAATTTAAAATAATATGATTTATTTTGGCCAAAATAAAACTAATTCTTGGGTAGCCTAATATAACATGGACTAAAATATCTTTTGGTTGTGCGGTGCACAACCGGGACCTTCTAGTGTTACATAATTGTAAGTGTTTGTATAGTACAAGTAAATGAATACTTGTATTCCAGTGGAGATAAGGTTAGAACAATTCAGTCGAGTTCTCTTCATGAATAAATTTCAGTCTCTCTCTAGTGCCTGAGTTCCACTTGTTGAATTGTCCTCTCTGTGTCTAGTGCGTGTTTGTTAGTTGTCTTCCTCCGTTCTTCTGGGTGGGTAGGGGTTTGGTTAGGTGTTCTTGGTCCGTAGTTTTAGAATTTTGGACAGTGTTAGGTGTTCAGTTTTTCTATCCTTCTCTTTGTTTGTTCCCCTTGTTTGTTTGCGTTTTCGTTTTTGTTGTGTGTTTGATTCTTCGATCATACCAGGGGCGTTTCAGGTCGTATTTGGTAGGGAGTCAGGAACCTGAGGGCTTATAAGTTTCAATTCCCGTTCTAATTGGACGAAGACAAAGATAGATTTCTAAGGGGGAAAACTTAGACCTTTGATGGACACTATATCCTTCCAAAGAAGTGGCAACTGAAAAATCTTGCATTTGGGGAGGAAGAGAAATGCAAGGATTTAGGTTCATATTCTCCATCTTCGCCTTCATTGGATATCAGTAGACACTGGGCTGAAGATAGGGAGGCGTGACACCACCACGACGACAATCGGTGTGATGTGCATGTACCGACGAGACTTGGATTGACAAGACGACTCGAGGTGGACGAGGAGGTTTAAGAACATCTCAGAACCGATCGTCCAGCCTCGTAAGTCGTGTATGTCTGTACAGAGTCGCCGCATACAAAAAAGTAAGATTTTTTTTATCCTAAGTTTTAGATTTGTTGTGCTTTAAGATTAATTTCTTAGTATTCAATTAGCGAACATTAACTTATGTTCTTCATCGTACCCAACAATTGGTATCAGAGCCCAAGGTTAATTCAGTTTGAATAATCTTCACCGAACCCAACAATTGGTATCAGAGCCCAAGGTTAATTCAGTTTATTATTCAATAATTGATATTCTTGAAGCGCACTCTAACAGGGAAAACCCAGATGAAGTTCAAGTGAGATTTTATCCCAAAACCATTTGGTGGTAGAAGGAGTAGTCAATTAAACTTATAAATTAAACTTATTTTTCCTATAAAAACAATATGAGACAACTCACAAGTGAATATTCTAATATGAACAAACAAACGAAACAAATATTTATGCACTGGAGATTTTTAGATGAAAATTTTTGTGATTTGGCAAGTCTCTTTGGCTCCACTTGAAGAGAGGTAGCGATTTATATCTACGATGATACTTACATAAAATTGAAAACCCTTCCCACATCGGTTTACAAGTTATGAAATGAGAAGCGATTGACACATTCCATTCCTTGATGCTGATCACCACCAAACATCTCCAAGAACTTAACTCTAAATTCTGTGAATGAACATGTTATATCACCATACTAAAATACCAGTTAA